ATTTTCGTATACAAAGTGCGCATTTGCCGTTGCACATTTGACGGCCAAGAAGAATAATTGTCATCGCCGTTCGACAAGTTTTTATTTCTTCTTTTTCATAAAGTATTGCAATTTTTGTATACGTAATGAATTTGAAATAACGATTGATAAAAATACTAATTCGTTTTACTTAAAAAAATATAGTCGCATCAATTTGCATATCCACGTAGTGGATCTCGTCAACGAGAAAAAAATGCCGAGTAATCACATAATTACTTATTAATAATTCGTAAATAAACATAAAAAAAGAAACAAAAAACATTTAAAAATTTATAACGAAATCATTGATAGCTCCATACATCTAAAATCAATTCAAATATTCATTGTCGAACGTGCGTTTTTCAGTTTATTGTATGCAATTTTTTCACTTTTTAGGCCTTCAATGGTCCTTCCTGATTTACAAATTTAATTTTTTTATTTTCACTATATCGAGGTACTCGTTCAAATGCCAACGATCATTTTGGGAGCTCTAAATCTAATAAAGTTATAATTATTGCGCTGTGTCATCTCGCAATTCATCCTGTTACATGTTTATCATTTCGAAAAGTAATCTGTGATCATTTTTATTTTTACAAACGAAATGTTAATTAATGAAATGTTTTTGAGGTTTCAACAGATTTTGATTATTAGCTGATTTTTAAAAATTATACATGGAGAGTTCTAATAATTAATTACCAAAATATTAACGAAGAAAATAATAAAACAGAAAATATTTAATTCAATTATTAAACAATTCTTCAAATTAGTATTAAAATATCTGACTTTAAATATATTTAAGATTTCAGTTAAAAGATTAATTTAAGTAATTATTTTTTAACAATAGAAAATATTATACCATGTATAATATTATAAATCAAGACTTATTAAATATAATATAATATAATAAATAATTATATTATATATAATATAATTATATATAATTATATTATATATTATATTGTTATATATTATTATATTATTATATTATATTATTATATATTATTATAATATAATTATATTATAATAATTATACTATAATATAATAAATCAAGACTTATTAAATTTTATACTATAAAAATTGAATAAATTAAATAAATTTGAAAAAACTATTAAAACCTTCCTTAAATTTATGTTTAAGCTTTAATTTCTTCGCTAACTATATAAATTGAGTTACATCTAGTCAATTTGATTAAATAAAGAATACAATAAAAAATATGAAATTCAGTGAGCGTAACAAATAAAAACGTTATTCTTATTTGTTGAAAATTTCTAACGTGTATAAATCTTTGACTACTTGAATCGATAAATTTATAACGTCCTTTCGATAATCAATATATTTTTTTTTATAACAAGTCAAAGCCCGAAAAATTAGAAAAAAACACCATTTATATGTTGGTGGTTTTGCTTATTTTCTTTCATTATTTCTTTTCATTTATTTTAGCTGTTTTCACCTACATGCATACATACACAATCATTATCTCTGTTATTTCATATAATTAATTTTTTTAATCTAATCATTAATAATGTAACTCTACTCAGGTAAATTTGCGTCAATTATCAATCATTTACATCCTTACAATACACAATCCTGTCAAGCGCATTTTGTCACTTATTTCCGCAACGCTAATAATTCCTACATATCTAATGCACTAATGTAATATATTCTTATATTTTAAATGTATTTTTTGCCCTTAAATATTAAAGTCACAGGTACGTGTATCTTCAACGATGATGTAAACACAATCCTATTAGGATTTCTTATTATTTAAAAGATATACACGATACCTTTATTATTATATTATTATTTTGAAATACTAGCATACACTACATGATAACTTATATGTGTGAGTGTATTTTTCTTTTTAACTCTTAAGTTCCATTCTTCTTCAAAGAAATTTAATAAAACTGATCGTTATAAACAAACATGTAATCCTTTACCTTTTTTCAAATAAAATTTAAAAACATACTTTTAGCTTAGCTTTCACATATTTTATGAGAACTCTGTTTATGAGTCTAGATAATAACTTAATAAGAATTACAGCACGTAAAATTAATAAAATACATAAAGAAAGGAAATTTGATTTGAAATTAATTTGAAATTAATTTGAATGAAATAAATTGAAAATAGTATATAACAGAGGCTTGACTTTTTCAAACACAAAATTATTCTCATTTTCTCTTTCTATTTAACTATTTATTTATCTATCTCTTTATCTCCTACTTTCTAGCTTTTTTCTTCTCTTTACAATCATTTGTTTCCTTTTCATTATCTCTTTTTCAAGTCTGTACTTCCTTACATTACTACGTTGATGCTTAGAATCAGTCGATCACATTGTCGTGTAAACACCCACAAAGGAACAAAAGTCACGGTACTCCATTATTTGGCACAGATTATACGTTTAAATAAATTTTTTTAATTACCCTTTTATAAAAGCAAAAAGAAAACAATTGTATAGTAAAAGCTTTTTTCTTTTATCATTAGAGTGATAAAATTTAGATTTGCATATCTAAACTCTTTCTTTTAAATTGAAAAGCATATGTTAAAAACAGTAACTATCTCATTTTCTCATTTCGGTTTAGGTCTTGAGATTATTGAAATATTTTGAATACGTCATCAATTACTCTAATAATACAATAAAAAATTAAATATGTGCTCATATAGGTGTTTTCATACTTATACATAAATGTGTATGCTTATAAACTTATTTCAATACATATCGGCATGCTTATATCATGCCTCTTTAATATCTAGTATTATTGTATTAGTAATAATTAAAAGTTTTCATTCTAAATCCATTCTTGATGTAAATACATATCTTTAAATTTTTCTCACTCCTTTTTGTTTCTTTTTTTAGCTTGCCTTACACTCGCTTATTATTTTTTACATTTTCATCACCGCTTAATTTCGACATGACACAAAATAACAAAGAAGGAATAGACATATATACAGGGAAGAGCAGAGGAAAAAATGGACTCAAGAAAAAAATAAAAGAAGTAAGCAAAAAAATAATTAGATAGTGTGACGTACTATTTTATATCTTGATTAGTTTTAACAGTTTTTTTTTCTTTAAATGCATTGTTCTAAACATCGAAATCTTACTGTATGGTGATGAAATAGATTATATTGATTTAAAATATATAAAAAAGATGAAGTTTTTTGTTCCAGCGTATGACCCATTATCAAAATTAAATATTAAAAACTCAATTATCCTTTATTCAATAAAAGATTATTCATGAAGAAAGTTTGACAGTGAATATATATATTTTTTTTTTTAAAGAACCACACTACATCTTATACAGAAAAAGTTATTAATCAAATGAAACTCCTATAATAAATATTTTATAATGTTAAGAAGTACATTTATAAACAAAATTCAAATAGCAGTTTTATTAAAAGTTGTTAACATTTGTTACAATCCTAGATAAATTTCATAGTGACAAATTTGTTTTTAAAAATAAAATTCAAAAAACTTTCATTGGTAAATTTAATATCAAAGTTTTGTTAACTAACATTCCAATAATCTGCCTTATCAATACATTACAGAATATGGCTTGTTTGACTTTTAAGGCGCTTAGTTGTCGATAATTTCAACAATTACAAGACGTTTTAAATTTTATATTAAAAAAAAAATTCTTCTAAATAATTCAAGTCAACAAATTTTAAATTGAATTATATAAGATTTCTAACTGATTACAAATTTCGAATAATATATTAAATATTCTAATAATATATTTAAAATATAAAATTTAGTAATAAAAATTTTTTGTTGCAAAGCTATAGAAAAAAATCTTATCGAAGAGTATTACTGGGCAGCGACAATAAAAAGGTCAAAACACGAACAAACAATATCAATCGGATCAAGATATTTAATCGCTAAACTCGTATCAGTTGATAAGACACTAAATTGATTATGAAAGGCAATCTGAATTTTTTTTAAATTGTTGGTATATTTATTTAATATTTATTAATATTATCAATTTATTCTCGTATTGCTTTTTGCAATCTTTTTAGGAAGCTTTAAGAGATCAGAACTTTATAACTATTACTGAATTAATAACAATTTGTTGTCTATTATTAAGTTGCATTATTAACACTATTATTATAGCACAGATCAATTGTTTTATTTGCTTTCTACTTGGTTCTTATCCATATCTGGCTATTTATATGGATTTGTTAATTTTTGTAAAACGAAATGCTCATAATACATATTGTCGATTCATTAAAACTAAAAAATATATTGATTTCAAATTTATTTAATACCACAATTTATCCTTTCACAAAGTAGAATATCTCATACCACAGAAAATGCTTTTATTTTAATGTTAAGGCGCAAAGGGTTATCTGATCAGTTAACATAATTTCAATTTAATAAATTTGAATAATTATATCCATTATTTTAATCGACAAAATAATGTAACTATGAATAGCCATAATTTTTGTTTATTATTCAGAAGCTGGAAGGTTGTCGATAAAGCAGAACTTTTCGTTGATATAGCATCTTCAAATAAAATAAAAATAATAATAATAAAAAGAGCAATTTGGTATCGTGTGCGATTTTGATCCAATGAGAATTTATATTCGTCTTCTATAAAAAAGAAGTTGAACAAGAAAAAAATATGAGTAAGATCTGAAAAAGATTTGGAAAGTCGTCTTTACTCTCAATGTCGCGTAAGAGAAACTAGTGAAAAAGGAAGTGGCAGAGTAGTAGGAGAAGGAGTAGGAAATATAGAAATAGGAGGACAATGATGATAACAACAACGATCACGATGACGACGACGAAGACGATGATGACAGTGACGACAACGACTACGATGATTCGCTCAGTATCAAGCATTGACTCGAAAAAGCTAATGCAGCTTAGCTCGCAAGGCGAGAGATCACGAGTGTTTGACGACGATTACACCCGGACGTTGTTGCGGTTGCTGCCCGGTAGACTGTGACGCTGTCAATGAGGACTGTTGCTGCTGCTGCTGCTGTTGTTGCTGTTGTTGATGCTGTTGCTGTTGCTGCTGCTGCTGCACCGAATGGAACTGTAGAAAATTATTCACCTCAGCATGGAGGAGCCGCTGCTTACTACTGGAACTTTCAGCATTACTCTGCTTATTCGTCAATGCCAGGGGCACATCCTGCGCAGGCTCATCACTAAAAAGATGATCACCCTCGAGGTGCCGTATTGCTTCTACTATCGTCTCCAAATTTTGCCGAGAGGTATTCGCTAAATATAGACGAGCCTGCGGTGTTCCATCATCCAGTGAATTGGAAGGTGACGGTAACCTACGACATATTACAATCAAATCAACTCAGTATGCTTATTTTTTTCTCTATATATGTAAAGATTATTTACTTAGTAGTACTGAGAACAAGGGAAAATTTTTTTTTACATATATATTAATAAATTATTTGAATGTAATTTCTGAAAAACTTACTTTATACATATTCAAAATGTATAAAATTCAATTACTATAGCAAATAGTTTAACTATGAAATAATTTCCGAAATTATTATTCCAATTATTTTATAACCTTTTTCGATTGTGTCGCAAAAATTTTCACATTGTAAAATGTTCTTATACACCTATAAGTCATTTTACTATTACAATGAATTTTAATTACTTCTTGTTTGAATTTTTTCATTAACGCGCTCATAATTAAAAAGTATTTGGTTAAGATATTGAAACAGAATGAGATTAGACTCTGTTGAGACGCAACTTCTTTTTGGAAAGATGAACATTAAACGTACATATCTGTTTTTGACAGATACCTCTTCGCTATTTTGGTAATTTATAACTATTTATACTAGACAAATAATTGAATAATATAAAAATTGAATAATCCATAAAATTAACATACCTTTCCACTTCGACTTTGGGCTCAGCCTTCATAGCTGCCTCAAGGACACTGGGTAGCCTCTGCTGCTGACTTATATCCTGATCCGGAGAAAAGGACCTTGTCGGGCTAACGGCGATAAATTGGTTCACGGGTGAACCCTTGAACTCTGTTGTAGTATTACCGACCGGCAAATTTGTGGTATACGTTACACCGCCCGGGCCGAAGGAGCTAGGGCTTGTCTGCTCATCGAGGTTTGAAGTGAATACTTGGACGCCGGCGAAGCCAACGATCTTTGGACTGTCCGGTTGTGATTCCAACAAGAGCTCCTCTGCATCCTTAGAATCGTCCGGGCCAACGGTAGTACCGTTCGAAACAATTATTTCACAGCCCGGTTGGGGGGAAAGAGGTGGCGTGTTCGTGTCCGCATTACTCGTTTCTACAGTTTGAGTCGAGCCGACACTCGGTACCGAGACCACCGAAACTACCTGAAGTCCGGGTATACCATCCTCGAGGTCTTCAGGCAGAATATTGCCCGTGTGCTCGATCATCTGTGGAGTCAATGCACAGATTCGTTTCGTTAATTTTTTTATCGTACAATAAGGGCAATTTACTTCAAATTTGCTTTATATTTAATTTACTTCAAATTTAATTTATTTATGAAATGTGTGAACAAATTCAAGATATTTTAAAAACATATATAAGGAAATTAGGCCAAGAAAATATTTTTCTTGTAATAGACTCTTTAAATATACATATGTAAATTTTACATAGCACTATCGATGAAGACAAAGTAATAAATATAGTACCCAGCGACAGAAAGAAATTGAGGCAAAAATAAAGCCAGAACATACCTCGTGGGGTTGATATGCAATGAGTTGTTCCTCGCGGAAACGCTCGGGAAAGAGCTGACTCTGCATAGATCTCATCTGTTTCTCGAGATGTGCCCTTGTAACGCGCTCCCGCTCGAGTTGCCGCTTAAGCTCGGCGACCTCGCTACTGGCGACAGACGCATGACCGTCGGCTGAGACCGTGATGACTGAGAGCGGCTCTGGGGACATACTTCCAAGGCCTTCATCTCCACTCTCGCTTACGTGCACTGGCAAGCTCACCACCACACCTGCAATCACAATGAAAATGTTAGATAGCCCTCAACTATTTTGCCATTTTGAACTAACAGATCTCTCTAAAAAAATGCATAATGCAATCTTCTGCAACTTTGTTTTATTTTGTAAAATAGACTGAATTTCTGATTTGTAAATAAAATTAATCATAATAATTAAAGATTTCATATTTCATTCTCTTGATTCTTATTAGCTGTTTTGATTACTACATACTAAAATGGCTAGATACTATTTTTCATTTGACCTAATGGAATAAAAAAGAAATAAAAAATACCTACTCCTGTGGTGTATTTATATTCTTATAAACTGTTCATGTAATAACTGAATAAAAGCCTGCTTTAAATATTGATTATTAAATATAATTAAGTCAATAAAATTATTTTGATTATTCATAAAACTTAAAATAAAAAATATAATAATTTTTAATATCTATGTTAAGGAATGGAGATTTAATATTCTGAAAACTAAACTAAGGTGAAAATATATGGATATTAGATTTTACGTATAAAGATGAATATTTCAAAAAACGAGTATAGGCAGATTACTGAAAGAATATAGACAGAAAATAAATAAGAAAGAAAGTAAAAAACGGAAACGGTCTGCTCTTACCGCTACTGTCTATTTAGTATCATTAGTTCTCCTTGCCAGACTAGCTCTTTCATTCCATAAGTAAACGAATAAGTAAATAAGTGAAGAAGTTAATGAGAAAGACAGTAAATCCATTATGTATTAGTAAATTAGTTATGGGTAGAATTGTTATGACAGGATTGCAAAAAAATTAAAACCGTTCGTGTGTTCAAAATTTTGAAAGATGAAGAAATGAAGATGATGAAAAATGATATATCAATACAATCTTCGAACTAAGATAAACAAATATTGTAAAGTATTTTCCAATTTTAAAACTATTCTTTAATATTAATGAAATTTGCTACATTTTATTTTCTTACTAAAAAATAAAATATCGTGTAATACAAATATTTTCTTTATATTTTGAAAATATCTTATTTTGTCAAAATTAACTAATTTTTAAAAATATAAACCAATGATTTCTTTTTGTGATAAACTTATATTTAATATATAAAAGAAGTAATATAAACACCATTGAAAAAAATAGAATAATTTTTAAAAACAAACCTTGATTTTCTCCCTTACGTTTCTTGGTTGGCACATCGCCACCTTCGTGTTGATCTACTAATCGTTTTAATTGTAGATTTTGTGATAACAGTTGAGTTTTCTGCTGCTCAAGTTGATATATGTATTCTGCAGTTTGTTGCAGTATCGCCGCCTAAAAATAAAATGATTATAGATTAAGTAAAATTTAATATTGACAATTGTAAAAACATAAATTATAGTAATTGGCTGAATAAGTTAAAATTATACATTTTTTAATACAAAAAGATGCACATTCAAATCAAAACCTAAAAATACATCTACTAGTGAAAATAAAATAAAAACTAACCAAGTTAAAAGATAGTTAAAAGATAATTAAAAGATTAATAGATAGTATTCCTTTAAGTACATCATACGATTTAAATAGTAAAATTTTATTTTATTAAATTAGTTGCTAATTGTATGATTTAGTTCAAGTATTGTTAATTTTACCTCTTACATTAAACAATTACAATTCTATATAATATAATTATCTATTTGTACAAATATTATTTTTAATATAAATTTGTAATAACCAACTTAGCAATTTAGTAAATTTTAAATTATAAAAACATACAATAAACAATATAAGGAACTGTAAGATAGAGTAAATCATGAAATGTAAGGTTCAGACATATACTGATTATACGATTTTTTCTCGTACGTTTTTCAATTGGTACATGTTGGCAGATTGGTTGGTATGTTGGCACATTGGCTGATGTATATTATAAATGATTAGAAATTGCTGTTGTCGAATGTCAAATTATTTATAAATATATAGTTTATACGTTACTATATGAAAATACGAATCTTAATAATATTGAAGGTAATAACTAAATATTTTGTAATTCTTCAAATTCAAACTACTTTTACTTAATTTGTGATTTTATTTTTAACAGTAAGTAATTTATAAATTATTGACTATAAATTATATATATTAATTAAACCAAAAACAAAATTATATCTACAATTTAAAATTCTTGTATACACTTCCTAAAAAGCTCGTAAATGATATGAGTTATAAAATTATCACATTTTTAAATCTTATAATATTCCAATTCCATAAATTAATAATAACTATCGAAAACATCATAAAAAATATAACATATTTGCTAAGTGATTGACGGGTGTATAATAATTCATAACAATAATTGAGAATTGTTGAAAACGAATAAAAGTTGCGAAAACCTTGATCAGTTGTGACGATATTATGTATTTTTCATTTTCTGCTTGTTGTATGGGGTATAATAAAAAGAACCTACAATATGAAACACATGGAGTCTGCTGTCAAACAAAACTTTGAACTTCGATACCAGGCGTTACTTGCACAACACAAACGAGTACAAAGAATAAAATGGAGATTTTCCAATACTACCAATAAACTACGGTTTACACTTGCCGGCAGATGCTCACCAAACAGATGGCTTATGCTTATCCTCGGATCACTTGCCTTTTACAGTTACCTGCCTACAAGACCACCACTTATTATTTTATTTTTACAAGGCCACCAATTTATTATTTCATTTTTAATTGTACTTATAATTTACTACATATTCAAAATAAAAATATTAAAGTAAAACCGCAAAAAAAATTTATAAGATTTTCAAACAAACCAAACGAACTTAATAAAATAATGCTTAGCTTTTCTATTAATCAAAGTACTATATGGTTAATGTTATTAGTAAAATTATTTCAATATTATTTATATTTTATTTTTAACCTAATAAAATATATAGATAAATTATTGAATTTATTGTAAGTTTTTATTACTATATTAATGTTTAAGCTTTATCAATTTTCTATTTTAATTACTTTTTATATTTTCAAATAAAAACATAAGCTTTTACTTTACAAAATAAATGATCATTTTCTATGAAATCTTTTAAATATTTTAAAATATACTTTGAAGTTTTTCGTGTACATTCATACACATTTAATTTATTCTACGGAATTAAAATGAAGCTGATTTAAATTAAATTATAATTTATAAATACACATAATAAATTATAAATGATGCGATTGAATTTTTTTGAATGATATAAACTATTAAAAATTAATTAAATTGAAATTAAAATTAGAAAAAAGTTGAAGTAGTAAACATTCGGTAAATGTAACGAAGAATAGTCAATAATATTTTTATCACTATATAAATTATTATATGAAAATAAAATGCTCTAAAAAAATTATACTATAAAAATGAAACTAACTTTCAAGATATTATTTATGATACCCAAACTATAGTATATCAAATATAGGGACTAATTATAATTAATTGAATATAATTATATTATTGTAAATTATTATACCCCATGTCATCAAAATTTAATTTCAGAATTATAATTTGAGTCCTTAGATTGGCAAACATACAGTAACATTTATTATATCTAACATTTCGATGACACCTACAGAACCTACACCTTATTAATCAATTAAAATATTGACCGTTGATATTAAATAATTTCATTATCTATGCTCGACCTAAAACTTTTCATTAATAATAATATAAAATATTTTATAACATTAAATATATATTATAGATTGATATTAAAAAAAGGTTAGTACAATTTATTTTATTATATAACATTATTACATAATATATATATTATAATAATATATTTTTCACTAAAATAAAGTTAGTATTTGTGAATAAACTATTTATATATATATATGTTTATATTTATGACAAAACATTAAAAGCTATATTTAAAAAGTATTAAAACAATTACATACATAAATTAGCAAGTACAAAGAAGAAAAAATGAAAAAATTGAAGATTTCATGCATGATTACATAAGTATATGCTCGTCCAATTAATTATCGAAGTCCTAAATAGTTTGTGTTAAGTATAAAGATCATGAATGAACGATAATTTTTTTATCATGAAACTTATTTAAATTATTATTTTGGCAATATTCTTTGGAACAATTTTATATTTAAATTAAAAATCAAAATTAAAATATAATTGTCATTTAATTTCATTGATTTAATTTTTTAAATACTATAGTAATTCTCGGGGTATAAATTGTAATGTAAATTAAAAAATATTTTGCATAATTAATATTTATTTAAACAGAAGTTGTAGATGGAGGTAAGGTAACCATTTCTCGTCAATGAATAAGGATTTCTAAAATAATTGGAATAAAATTAGAAATGTAATTATAAAGATAATCGGAAATTAATAGATAAAGTTGAATTATATAAATAGAATTAGCCGAAAAAAGTATAACCTATAGTAATTTATTATTTACTATTTTTAAAAATACATTGACATAGCTCAATTTCGATAAAATATGCATTGTGTATGAACGTGTCAAGAAATTGTAAAAAATACCATAGAATAGACAATCTTAACTTGTTAGCTTTATGTTTCTATGCTATAGTTGTATACATCGGATAATTTTATGTTATAATTTATCAAGAAAACGAACAGCAAGTTTCAAGGACAATACATGTGTAGATATGATACGAATAAGTTGACTTATCTACAATAATTAATTTGATTCATTTTATACGAAAATATTTTGACGAATTCATCCGTCTTTAAAACTTCTTACGAAACTATCGATGCACACGAATTTCATATGCGATCAATGTTATTTCCAGCCGCATATATATGACTGGTTGTTTTACATTTCGTTTTTATAATATGAAATATTTTTTATAATTAGAATGCATCTTCTATATACATCTCTTCATAATATAGTGGTCATAATATCAAATATTATATCAACAATAATCAAGTCGCAGTGTTGAATATTTTTGGTGTTATTTTCTAACTTAATTTGTATATATCTTTATTTTCTGTGAATTTATAGGTACAAGTATTAAATACTAAATAATTTATATATATATATATATATCGTATATATATATATAAATTATTAAAAATACAAAGAATGTCTTATTTGTTATTACTTATATGTGCTTTCTATATTTCTCCATTGTATATTTCTATATAGTTTTCTATATTTACTATAGATTTACTCACGGTTTTAAAATATTTTAAGAATCTATTTATGTTATTACATTTTTAGTATCAAATCTTTCGTTCATCCGATTATTTAAGCGTACTGTTTTTATCATATAAACTGCAAATAAAGTTACTATTTTATAACGTTTATAACTATTTAAGATCTCGATATACAAAAAGTAATTAAAAGTTTTATTCAAACAACTCGAATTCCTTTTCACTTAAATACAATTAAAATTTTTTTTTTAAGTAGAAAAATACTTCTTACATGTTATTTGTAAAAATATTTTCTTTTATAAATTCACTTTTATAAATTCTTTTTTATAGACATTTTTTGGCTACTTTTTGAATGATTCAAATTTGAGAATGCACGTAATATATATATTATTAAAAATAGAAGTATTCGAAAATTTTTTTCTTCTAAATTAAAAAAACTAACTAAAAACATACAAATATTATAACATGTAATATATTATAAAATATACTATTTTGTAATATAATATGTAAATATTTTAATCAATTTTCAAATAATTTTTTACAAAATGTACGATATTTATTTTTAAAACTTTGTTCATACTTCACTGAATAACAAATTTCTTAGTGCTACTTTGAAATTAACTTAAAATGTTAAAGATATTTAATTAATATAAAAGATTTTTAATTGCAAAACCTTTAAAACATACTTCGTATCAATAAAACTAAAACTAAAAATAAAACTACTCTATATATACATCAAGCACAATTAATAAAAAAATATTTAAAAATTTAATAAATAATATAAAGTATTTAAATTTACGAAATTCATCATAGAAAATTATATATCTAAATATTTAAATATATTGTATTATTTGAATTGTATTATTATTAAATTGTATTATTATTATTGCATGATTTTAATATATTGTAAGCATACATAATATTCATTTTTTATAAATTTTTATATAAGTTTGTAATATAAGTTCACAATATAATTTATATGTAATTTTATGATAAATCTTTAATAACAACCTTTACAAATTTTCAATGATTCATTATGTAAAATTAATGAATGATTGACATTACAATAATCTATGTTTGCAAATTTAAATTTAAGAACAAAAATCCCATTTAAATATTACTATTGTTTAATAATTGATTGTTGCACTTTGACATCATACGAGCAAAGT